AATGACAGGAAACATAGTAAGGTGAATATAATTGTATCAGAAACCCTATTCAAAGAGAAATGCGATGGAGTAAAAAGGAAATACACAAGTGCTTTGGGACAAAGTCAGAAAGGCTAAGGCAAAAACACATTTTATTTTGCAAGGGGCAAAGAAAACACTAAAGAAAGGGGGTTCTTAATATGTTTTTCAGAAAACAGAGAGAAAGGAAGCTATCAAACCATTATTTAGCTGGAAAGACAGTTAAAACAAACCAACAATTCACTGTGAGACAACAGCAGATTTTAATAAACGTCACAAAGGAAAAGTTCATTATATCAAGCCATCTAACAAAGTGGGAAAAAAAATGGATGTTAAGGAGAGCAAGGATTTCGTAAGAACAATTAGATGTATTCTTACATTACGCAACTGAAGAATTAATTGCATTCAAGTCAGAAGGGGCTTTGCTTTAGAGCCGTTGAGGAACCCAGCAAAGCAAACTAAAGGGAGAGACAGCCAGGTCCCAGAGGATGGTAGAAGAGCAAACACAGCAGCAACTTAAAAGTGAGAAGAGGAGGAGAAAGCAGGAACTGAGAAAGTTACAGACCAGATGTAGCAACTCTGATATTCAAAAGTTCTGGAACACACTACAGAACGTTAAAAGCCACTTTTAATTTACGAACAACATCTAGTTTCCTTTTTGAGATCAGCACAGGAGCGAACCTCCTCAATGAAGTCTTCAATGCTGACCCACACAACATTCTCAAAAGCAAAGGTGGCCACCTGGTCCTAATAAATAAACCACAGGAAGAATGAGAAAACAACATCCTGGTTGCAAAACTACCCTGAAAAATACTTGTTCAGCTAAGAGCACACTTCAAGCATCATTTAGGAAACTACCACCCAGTTTCCTACATGATCCGATTTTTGGTAGCAATTTATGGAGTGACCTACCAATAACTCCACCAGACTAACATATGTGTGGAGTGACATAAATCCAAGAGAAAATGTCAGTGCTTTCAGAAAGCAGGATTAAAAACAATTTTGTCATAAAAGAGAGATGGTCTAAACTCAGTGCAATTAAATTGCATAAGGAAAAATACAGATGTAAAACACCACTTTGAAAGGGCAACAGTGAAAATACTATTATGAAGGAAAAGTGATCAGTTTTACTCCATGACTACTGTAGAAAAATTCCCAAAAAGTTCCCAGCTTAATTTGCAGTAAAGGAGACTTAGGATGGATATCAGGTGAAAAAATAGAAGAATAAACATTGGAGTAAAATCAGAGAAGTCCCTGGAACTTTTTTAAATAATAAGTTAGATTGGCACTCATCAGGGATCATCTAGGTGTACATGACCCTGCCGCAAGTCACACCTCTGGCCGGGCTGCAGGCAAATGCAGCCAACTCACTCAGTCCTGGCATGGGAGTAAGCTAACTGAATAGGGCATGAGAAACTACTAGACAGGACCCGAGAGATTGCTGGACACGGCCCGTAACTGTGAGCAAAGCTGACAAAAGCTACAGCCAGCGCCGTGAGGGGTGACTGGACTTCCAGCGTGGTTAAGGGAGAGTTACGTGAGAAACAGCTGACCTCCTGAAGGGCAGGACGGAGGACCTCCAGGGAGTGGAAGCAGGCACAGCCAACACATCAGGGTGACCACACCGGTAGTGCCAAGTACTGCTGAGATTACTGAGGGAACAGTACAAGCGCTATCAAATTTGGTCATGATTTAGCAAGACTGGAATCAAGAGGGAAAACTAAATACAGCAGGCTTGTCATTCGGGAGAAGACTGGGATGGAGGAAGGGAGGTATGAAGTGGTAAAAAGGAAGGTGAAGAAGGAGGAAAAGGGATAACAACCACAGGCAATCAGTACGTACCAGGTAGCCCCGCGCTGCTCATCACCGCACTTTAAATGAGGGCAGCCAGCGAAGCCTGTTGTTCTGAGCCCATCACAAGAATCAAAACTGCTTCTGCTGTCAGGAGAACTGGGGCTGGGAGGGAGGTTTGGTGCTCTCCCTGGCAAGCAGGAGAATGGCTAGGTAGTGGGACAGAGCATCGCCGTGTTGGTGCTTGTTGGTGCCCAACCTTCTCCTACTAGCCTTGTGAAGTTCCCTTTCACCCTTGCACTTCCATGACACTTTTGTAATGTCAAAGGAGCAGAATGCGACTCCATTCATGCTTAACACGTAAAAATCATTTCCAGAATATCCTCATTTCCTATCTGCCCTGGAGAATGTCACCAAGCTACGGTGCTATGGAAAAATGTAATTTGTTTTTATATTGGCCACTCCATAATAATTTCAGTGAAACTTTTGGATTAATGCCAACTTCCCTTTTCACAAACAACTAAATCCTTTGATAGTTGGGATATAATTTTGGCAGCGTTTGAAGGAGATGGGAGAAATGGTAAAACCATAAAGTACAAGACTCCAACACCTGAATGAAATTATTAAATATCCACCAAAATAAATATTCACCAGACAAATGATAACCAAACAAGTAAACTTATGGTAAACACTAACAGAAAGTTTTATGGACTCTGGATTCACCACAAACAATACTTTCAGAAAACCATGAGAAGTGTTGGTGACAAGTATTTAATTTCAGTTTAGAATGTATTTTAAGCACACATTTGTTTCATTTACCATATGGTTGTGAAAAAAATAACCCTTTTCTCAAATATCTAAAAATTAAAACTCACAGCAATATCTGAAATGCCCTTAGTGCTATATTTATTCATTGATTTCTTTAATTTTACTTTATGTGACTGAAATTTATCTGCATTTCTGCACTGAAACTGAAGTGAGCAGTCAGAAACCTTCTGGTCATCTTCAAAATGGTAAGGGGAAAAATGTTCAATAAGGAGCATTCTTAACAAAGAACGCTTTTGAAAAAAATTCTGCTATATACTTTGCATCTTAATGGAAAGTCTTTGGATCCCTGACCTGATTCCAAACATCTGTGAGTGCAACATGCCCTAATATTCTCCATGGGAGTATCCCTAGAGCTCATGCCACTGTTAAAACATTTATTGAGAAGTCAAAAAAGAAGAAAAAAAGTCAGAGCAGCAGCTGCTGAAAATTATCTTTACCAGTCACCACACAATCATTTTCTTAGAGACTTAGGGCCATTGTTATACTAACTCACTCTAGAAATGATACATAACATTTGCTAGACTACAGATGCAATGAAAAGTCCACACATCTGATAAATCAGAGAATGTATTCTGTTTCTGTTTGGAATTAAATATTTGCCCCACAATACTTTATACTCCCCAGTTTTTCATCAAACTGTCACTGTTCTAACAGATACTGCATTTTATACTTTTCTTATCAAAAAACTGACATTAATTAGCTTTTAGTGTGATAATGCCTTCTGTGTAAGCATGGGCAGCATACCAAAAAAAAAGTAATACTGTTTTGTGGTGTTTAGTCTGAAAAACAGAAGCGTTTCATTACACAGACAGCACTGGATTCTGCACAGCCTACTGTGCTGGTAATCTATTACTGCTGAAGAACTATCGATACAGTCACTGAAACGTGCCACATAATTCTGAAGTCCTGAGGCTGACATCTCTCAAAAACCTGATATCAAAATAGTATGGAAAATAATGTGACAGGCTATAAAGTATTTTTCATTGTAAAACTTCCCAAAGACTTTCAGTAATTAGATGTATGCAACTTCACTAAAATAAAATACAGATATGGACTGCAGACAAGAAAAAGCAGAGTAAAGACTATACTTCAGAATTACAAAAAAACAAAAGAAGCATTCAAACATACTTGAGCAAATCCCTATAACTTGGCAAAACAACTCAAGATACTGAAAAATTGTCTCTACTATGTAAAGATAGTATTCTCCAGGAATGTGCAAGGAACCACATAGACCCTGATTCTGACCCAAATGTGGTTCCAGATCAGAATGACATACCAGGACATCGCACATTCAAGGAACCATGACTATTACTGGGCTCAGGACTGCCAGAGAGAGAAGTGTTAAAAAAAAAATTGTTCACAAGTTCTTTTCTCACTTATCTACATACTCCTACACTGCAGGCACAGCTTCCGGCAGAGAGGAGCACAGAACACAGATTAGTCTCAGTTTCCTCTCAGTGATGCCAAGTGGTCGCTGACTTCCAGGAAGATAAAGATATAATCACATAGCAAATACTGAGGAACATAATTGCTATCTAGGCAGATCCAAGAGCGTTTCCTAGAGGCAGGGTCTGACCACAGTCAGAAGAAAATCAGGTGCACATCATCTGCTCTATGAATCCCCAATCTGAAACAAAAGCTGGGCGCGCAACTGCAGAGGAGAACTGTGGTACCATCCAGAAAGAAACCCCCTATCTTCTGGACAACTTAGGAAATCCAGATAGCAAGGTGTATTGCAGAGCTCTCAGCCCACAGTCTATGTGCAGCCAACCTGATCCTTATTACATTAAAACCCCAAGCAATCACAGGCACGTGAATGAAGAACACTCTCTTCTACACAACAGAGCAACTAAATGTTTGCAGATGCAAGCCTCCGCCAGAAAGCTCACCTACAAAGAAAAGATCTGTAAGTCTGCTACTGCATCCAGCCAACAGATTGCATCCCAAATCCAAATAAATATTGAAGCGGGAGCCACAAAGATCCTGGATCCAAATTCAGCCAACTTCCCAACCCTGGGTGTCCCGCTGCAGTATTAAGTCTTTCATCTTGCTTTTTACTGTAAATGGAAAACAACCTTATGATGGTTTTCCCATTCACCCCAGCCATAATTTATCCAGGCATTACCATTTTAAACCAACTCATAGTTATCTGTCCTTACCATAACGGCTTTCTTCTTTAATAAGAACTAGCTGCTATCTGTAACTCTAGACTACAGAATCAAAGCCTGCACAATGAGGGTTCTCACTGTTAAGTTATTGATATCAACATCTTCGTGGTTAACAAAGCAGTAAGCAACTTTAACTGACTTTCATCTTACTCTTTGCTATATGTACAGCTTTTTAAAATTTTTATTGCAACTCACCAAAATTTCTCTCTGCTCTTCCAGATTTTTTAAAAAGTTTGAAAACTCATGAAGTGATGCATCTGTAATACAAAACCAGAAAAAAAGTTTAGTCATGTTGCAGGATGGCATGGCAAAATATAGCCGCTTATAGTTACTTCTTACCTACCTATGTATCTTTCATCATCTGTCTCTGCATCACCAATGAATTCAAATTTGAAGTCTCTCAGAGAATGGGCAAATTTTCTCTGGGCTGCTGAAAGGTCTGCAAGGAAAAAAAGCACAGATTGAAGGTTAAGGAATCATTTTAAGAAGGCTGGAAGATCCTCCTACCCCTACAATAATCAGCTTTTACAAGAAACTCTTAACACAGGTCTGCTTAAGGATCTCATCTGGGAATTTGTCGCACAGATTTCTTTATACAAGGCTATATAGTAGAAAGCAAGCGTGATCACGTGAACAGTATTATACCTATTTTTATGCTTCACTATACCACAATTTAGGGCACAGGCCACACAAACAGATTTGTTACTACAGAAGTTTAAGGCACAACAATCACAGTAAGTTGTGCCAGTTTCTTACCCTGCTAACCTAAATTCACTTGTGTATTTGTCAGCACAATACGCATCTCAGGATTTTCTATACACTTTACATAAGATAGCTCTGCTAGTGAAACGTTTATACATAAACCAAATTTAAAAGAATTGTTGCATTGGAACTAGAAATTCCATACTTAAACTATGCCAAAAGTTAGCCAAGTTAAATGCAGAGCATTAAAATTAATTTTGTATTGTTTTGTAATATTCCCAAAACATTTTCTTCAACCCAATTTTTACCTATTACTGTTCGACAATTTGGGGTCGGAGGGCTGCACTCTTACACCCCTCAGGAAATAATCAGATTCTATATTCAGCCACAATATCATCATTACAAACCCTTATTAAGATCTATAAAGCTATAAATAAGCAATGTACGCACACTTTTCTGTTGTGCTGACATGTGCAGGTTGGGAATGTCACGAGTTCTGGAAGAATGGAGTTGCTCAATGGAAAAAAAGGATGCATGTCCTGGTACACTCGTACCCAGTAGTAAAGATTTTACTCACATTTTTGTTGTCGGCCAAGTTAAGGACAATTTGAAATATTTAGTTAATCTATAATCTTTTTCTTATCACATGCAGTTCTGAAGGGCTAAGAACAACTCTTTTAACGGACCAGCTAAGCATTTTGTTCTTTAATATTAACTGGCGCTAAAAGAGTACAAACTTGGGCTTTTTTGTTGTTCTTGTTCTGGGTTGTTGTTTTTTTTTTTTTTAAAACAACTCTATAATAGGTCCTGCATCCAACACATCATGTTTTATCATGTGTCATAGTCAAGTACAACTTTGACATACAATGCTGCACTGAAAGTTCAGTTCAACCGCTTAAAAGGATAAGTCACAAATACTCTACAAACCACAAGACACAACCTAAAATCAAAAAAAATGCTTTCTGTTCCTTGCAATTCCACATTCCTTTCTTTTCATCCATTTCTCATTAGTTCCTTCCTCACCTATTGTGTAACAGCGCCGTTCCCTGTGATGCTATGCTGCCAGGTACTCGCCTCCCCTTTGCAACTACTTCTAAAGCCTGTACGTGTACCCTTCAACACATGAAGCTTCAGGATGCTGCACAGGGTTGAAGGAAGGACAAGAATGTTGAAGGAAAAAGCAACATAATTCCCACACAAAAGGAAACACGAGTATTTTAACTCAAATGTCTTGTAGGCTAAAAGGCTGTTCATAAAGCAGACAGCAAAAGAAACAATTTGTCGACTGTGAAAGGCTTAAAAATGGAAAATAACAAGTTGCTTAAACATCTGTTATGCTTATTTATGAGCGAGGTCACAACACAAGGCTGAAAAGAGTTTATTTATGGGAGAATGGGTCCAACAACACGCACTCTCCCGAATTTATTTAATTTTCTTGAATCCGATAATCCCCTAACAAAGCCCTGTCATATGAGACCTAGCCCCATGCTAGAGGAAGGAATTGTTTATTACGTTTTCTCTCACTTGTAGAGGTGAAGTATTCAAATAATGTGAGCAATGTACATGTTAAGAGAAGGCATGTAGCACCACATGCACGCATCTCCTCCCTTTCCCCTTTACAGACTGGAAGGGTACTGATGTACTGAAGTGGGCTATGGGCTTTAATGAGCCTTTCTAGAGCGGTGTGAAACCGCCTCCTGCATGGCTGCATCTCCCACCTCTCCACCAAAAGCCACCTCTTTGGTGACAGTGATAGCAGACAGAACCTGTGCCCACACCCCGACTCTTTCGGTGCAATGTCCAACATCTTCGGTCAAGTTGAGAAGGGGCTGAATTGAAACACTGAGCTTCTCACAGGATCAGAAAGCCATATCCATGCACTTCTCTCTACTGAATCTGCTAAGGGATTGGAAATCACTGACCAAAGGGCTGAGCAGGTGGTTGGAAGCAGTAACCTTTTAAACATACCAAAGTTAGACTTACAGAGTTCCTGTATTAAAGCCATGAAGACATATTAAATTTTTGCAACGTCTTTCCACAAATCATCCCTGAAATGTTTAAGAACTGTTCCAGAAAATTTTGAAAAGCATCAAGGGTTGGGGGGAGGTTGGAGGTTTGGGACACAGAAGAATGACCTGATGGGTCAAGAAAAGCTGCAGGTATCTGGCTATTGAACCAACACCTAGAAGAAAAGACAATGAAATAGGAGAGACTTTCTGACGGATTTTAAAAACTTGGCACTTTCAACAAAGGTGAGAAGTCACTGGAGCAAAATAAAAACCAATCACATGGTGCAAGATGTAACTGGGAAGAAACAAACCTCGCGACTGGGGGAAGAACACTCCAGTCATTTGCTTCAACAGACTGCTGCAATGATCAGAGTCCTAACTGTTGCCAAAATAAAGAGATTTTTAATCCTGCTTAGTCAGCAGATGTTAACTACAAGATTCATCCTCCAATGTTTATATATCATCCATGAGTCTTGTTTTATTTTCGCTAAATTTACATTTAAGGTCACATTCTGTTTTCACTCCCTATGCCAAAATAGCACTGGTCTAACATAAAACTAGCACCTTGCCGGGCAGAACTACTGGTGCCCAGCTATTCACAGGAATGGAAGAGCCTCTGGTCTGCCTCTTGCTAAACTAAAAGAAACAAAACTGAGTATCAAGTAAAGATGGAGGAAAACTTTTTCAAAAGGTCAGAGCAAGAATACTGAACTCGTTCTGCTACAGCACAGGAAAAATTACGAGCATGGTGGCTAGACTCAAAAAGATAACATAGCCTTATGTTGGATTTCTTGCCATCTGACCAACCACGGCCACAGGGAGACACCTGAGACCATCTGCAGTCAAACCTTCCACCGTGGGGCAAACAGCATGAAACTGCTCCAGCCTTTACCCTGATAAATTCTGTGTATCCTACAGTACATACACAGATGTTCACATAATTACAAGCATTTATAAAACTCTATAAAACCAAACTAGATGCTGATATCATCATAGGTACTATACTCTCTTACTATTGTGTTATGATTTAAATGCTGAGCATTGTTGCTTAAGTTAGAAATTTCATAAATGTAACTTGGCTCTCTTCCACCCTGTGTCAGAAGACCTTTACTACAGCAAAATTATTCACCTGGCACTGACAGTATTGTTCCACATGAACATTAGAGCTTGCAAGACCAGTATGTGCTATATAACAGACCATAAACATACATGGATTCCAGCTACATACATTAGAATTAGACAGTACATGAGTACGGACGGTATGTATCAAACAGCACGGCCAGTTACGCTGATTATCCGACTAATGCTGTAGCCTATTGAAAAAACACAGTGAGAATTTAGGGGGCCAGAAAGCAATTATTTTATTCCCTTTAATCTCTCTTAATTCTACACAGTAACACCATATAGAAAGATATAGGAAGCGGGAATAGAGTTGTTGCTTGTTGAAAGCTGCTGCTATCATTTAAAGGGAGGAACAGGGCATTCAAGATCAGAGAGTGTTTAAATATCAACCAAACACTAACACTATTTCCTGAGTAAAATGTAATCCTGGTGAACCCATAAGGCAGAGTCACTTCAAAGACTCACTTTCTTAAAACACTAAAAGAAACCAAGCATCTGCTAAATGTTTTGACCAAAAGACTGAAGAGAAAGACAGGCACATTTCCAAAGAGAGAAGGGAGGGACATAAGGACAGCAGGGCTTTTAATTTTCTCTCTTTGTTAATGTGCGTATCAGTACAATGTATTTTTTTCATGTTTGAATGTAACTACTTAAAAACACACCAGAAGAAATGGGAGCAGCCGCCAGCTCCCCCACTTTGCTCTGAAACGCTTCAGTAACAAGCGCTCCCGTCAGCTCGTCCTGCGCCAGACACGCTGCCGGTGCCCCACACAAATACCTCTACAGCTTTCCATTTGGATTTGGAGGAAAATATTGTTCTTCCTTATCTGAGCTGAGCCAAGCCAACACGACACCATTAGTTGCTAGGCGGTGGCCAGCCCTCACTTACAGCACCAGACTCCAATCGCTCCCTTTACTCTAAGATCAGTACTAACTTCAGTGTTAGCCACCCAAACTAAAACTCGTGCACGAAATAAGACAATATTGCTTCCTAAGGCTATCCTAGATCTCTTTTGCATGGCAGGAGAATTATCTGCTTGCAACAGCCCTTTGTATTAGTGTTAATATTTTTTCTACAGCAAAATACAGATTTCTACATCAAGCTTCACTTTTACTGTATCATGATGATTCATTAAGAAGAACTGGAATTACACCGCCTCATCCCTAACTACAAAATCTCATTGACGCTAACAGATATGCTCCAGGAATGACAGATTTCTAGAGGCTTTATTTAACAGGGGTTAAAATTGCTCTGGTCTTGTTCAACAACATTCTTCTCAAAAAGCTAAAAGGTTAACAAATACTTAGATTTAACTACCAAGCTTGTTTTCAAGATATGTAATTACGTTAAGGACTAATATTAGATTTATCAATCTATTTTCCTCGCAGTAGGCCAAGATCAGGCAAGCTACACACCGGCACGAAACAGGCAAGGACAAGCTGAGTGAGAGTCGGCCTCTCCCCTCTTCTTCCCAGGCATCAGTCTCACTTGCAAGAGCTAACAAAGTAGCTTAAGAGGAACAGAGTACTTAAAATAGTTTGTCCATGAGCTGCAATATGGACTGGCATAATGTTTTGTACAAAACATGTGCCATCTGAATGCTTA